TTACGCTACGTTTATCAGTACGTGGGTTTGATACATGCATGTTACATTCATATACATCAAACGATATACAAAAGCATTTATCAACTGAGATTCTCATTTTGATATTATTTGAGGATACTAGTCTGGAGGTGGGCGCTTCTTGGCAAATTCAAGGTTCAGTTGTCGAGTGGCCAATGACTTGGTTATGGCCACAACCTACCCCTCACCAGACTAGATCTGATCTCTTCCATATCACATTTCCTTACGCTTTTGTTCGTAGTTTCACCCCTGAAATCGCTGTCGGTCTCGTCTAACACTGATCAACCATTTCAGGACATCTGATACGAACTCTTCCGATACGAACGCCGAAACTGTAACACGACTTCTCGTATTCTTTAGAACATTGAAGCACATCATTCGAGACTCGAGATTTTCTCATCCTCGAATATCTTCCACGAATCATGGAGACAGCTAAAGGATCCAAGACTGTGGATGTGATTGTCGTCGTCGATACGACAGGATCCATGGATTCCTGTGAGTACTTTTAACCTTTCCATTCACAACGCGTACGTGTTTGGTTAATGCTAGTGGTGTGCCAATAGGAGGTATCCCAATAGCTAGCTCTATCCAATTTGTTGTTCTTTCCAAGAAGCCCTGACCTGATATGAATTTCTAGATCTCATATCCATTAGTCGCTTCATGCCACAGCTCCTCGCATTGCGCGGCATCACTTCCAAAATTCGTCGAATAGGAGTACTGGCATACAACGACTATTACATGCCACCTCCAAACATGTTTGCCCAATCCGCCATTGTCAATCCTATCCCCGCAAACGACAGAGCCGCCAAGGCTCTCATCCCCAAAGCTACCATCGACGACGTTCTCAGTTGGAGTGGATGGGACGAAGGCGAGTCTGCACTCTCTAGGTTGACCGAATGGGTTGGTGGTCTCAAAGCTGAAGGAGGTGGTGACTATCCTGAAGCCGCCAAGACAGCCTTGAGAAGAGTGCTGGATATCGTGGAAGCTGAGCGTGCAGACGGTACTACAAAGGAAGAAGGGGAGACGCTAGTGCTCTGGTACACCGACTCTCCACCGCACCATAGGTCTCACCGTAGTGTCAATCGATTACTCGAAATCGCCGCGCATGGACCACCTTCCAATGAACCCGTCGATACCTCTCCTTTCGGACTCAACAAACCCACGCCCATGCCCCCAGACACACCCACCGACAAATGCCTCGACTGGTTCCATCTTTCGGTCCAGTCCGCTGCTGCAAATCTAAAGGTCTACACCATCTTACCTCCTTCAATGCCCGATGCCGACGCAGCTTTTTGGGTGTTGTTAGGCCGGATCACGCGTGGCTCTACCTTTGTCATCGGTGGGCCCGTAAAAGAACAGGCCGAAGAAAAAGTGGAGATTGTATTCACAACGAGTGGCGGTGGAAAGTTTATACGAGCCGTCACCGACCTCAGCATGACTATCGTGACAGAACACCTGGGGATTGGCTACGTTGGGTACATGAGTAAATCAAAGGCGAAAGGCAAACAGAAAGAGGCGGCTGATTCGGGCGATACTGCAAAATCTGAATCTGCCATCCGAATGCTCTACTATTACTACGACCCCTTGGATCACATCCCAGACCTCAAGGCCGCTGAACCAGCAACATCATCTAGTCCAGCTAAAGAAAAGAAAGAAGTCGATGCACCTCCTGGGATCATTACAAACGAAGATGCTGGTTCACAGGGCTTCCTGCCACCACCGTGGAGAGGCGCAAATCCTGACAGAAGCGGCACGCCATTGAACGCCATTTTACGAATTGGGGTTACGGATGAAGAAGTGTGTCAGGCCCTGGTCGGCAAAGAGCAGATGCTCAATTCAAGACAACTGCCTTCTGAGGATTCTGTCTCTCGAGAAGGGGATGCGTACGCCCAAAAATATGAGGGGGAGACGGATGCCTTCCGCGAAAAAGTAGAGACACTGCTCAGGGGGGTTGTGACTGCAGATATTGAAGCCGTCCCTAGCTTCTGGATTTTCTCGGATATTTGGAAAGCAGGTCAGTATCACTTCTT